TGATATCTATTTGAACGCAGAATAAATTTCGCTGTGGATTTGGCTACTCCTACATTTTTCTCAATTTGACAAGTGGATATCTCAGAGTTCTTAGCAACTGCTTGTAGAACACTATTCTAACTTTCCCCTAAGGATTCCTTTTTTCGAGACATAACAGACTTTTTGAATGAACTATACTCATTCAAATTTCAAGCCATCTCGAGAAAATGGACTTACTTGGCTGCCTTCTTCCGAGAAATTTATCAAGATACATTTCTGCAGTAATTTTTAATATATTTTTCAATTTTATTTCCAACTCTTCTTCATTACTAAAATTACCGCTTGGCATCTTTGACGAAGTTATATTAACAATACACAATAATGATACTCGGTGACAGGTATTTGTTTGCAACACCAACATAAAAAATTAAAAAATCTGAAAAAAACGCATGTTTCCTTATGACCAAGGAAATAAATGTAACGTGTGTTAATTCGGATAATAAATGTTATTAGACATAGGGTGTACTTTTTTCGGACCATATAAAGTTTTTGATGTTTTTTTAAAGACGAACTCTCAGACACAAAATTTAAAAGCACCATCATGTAGTGCCTAAAAAGTGACCATTGAAAAATTTAATTAATATTCTAATATTTCTTTAAGTAAAGTCAGAAAAAATAAAAATGATTTGGTCTAACTTCAGTTTTTCCCAAATATCTCAATAAACCATGAAATGTTTACAAGCCTCTCAACGGCATGTAAATATGCCCCAAAGAATGAAACTTTTTCCTAATTCAACCTCAGCACTACGTCCCACCCTGTATACTCTCGAAGTCTCCGTATGAACTGCAAGTGGTTTATGGACAAATATGCCGCAAAGAAAGTTGTCTACAGATATGTTAAGCCGCGTATAAATATGCGAGCCGAGCCGTTCGTGAGCCGCTCGTGGTCCGCTCAAAAACTGTTCGTTGAAATTATTTTTACAACGAAGGTCCAGCGATCCATGGAATAAAGCCGAACCAGCCACAAACCACCAGCGCATACCAGTCTGTGTAGTTCAGTTTGAATCATGCCCTCGCGCGAGGATACTCGATCATGGTAATGAGTGGTGCGGCTTTAGTAACTCGTAGTTTGTGCAAGAAAAAGAAGAAACAAAGGCGTTGGTGGCACGGTGATTTATATTAGAAACGCAGTGGTATGGTTTATTTATCCTGATTTTTCGGAATTATAAATACAGGTATAAGTGTGAAAATGTTTCTCTTCCGACCACTCCATATTCGAAAATAATGCTTGCGAACAGCACAACATCACACAAACACGTTCCAATATGAACTGCGAATCCGTTTGTGTTCGTTAGAAAAACCGACAGGACACGGTTCGCAACGACTGGCTCAGAAGCAGTTCGTCTGCTGCTATGAATCCCGTCCCAATCATACGAACTAACAGTTCGCAAACGGCTCGGCTCGCATGTGTATACGCGGTTTTATAGTCAAAAACATGAGGATCTACAAAGACAGTATACATGCAATACTGACTCTCATGTGTTGTAAGCTTACAACGAGAACAGTTCTAGACTGCCACTTGGCACTTTTGAATATATCCGCCAGTCACAAGATAGCAGTTTCTTGATTGAAAAGCCATTCAAAATTCAAGGGTAATATTATAGCGGGCAGTGCAAAAAGAGCTACTGAAACCAGCGTTCTGGGTCCAATGCTCATCTGCATCTTACCCATCGGAGCCATGGCATACCCACAAAACTTCAAGACCATGTATGATGATACATCAGGCTGCTCATCCGCTAAGGAATTCCTCAGACATCCCAGTGAGAAAGTAGCGGCAAACTACCTGTCTGTGTTCAGACAACAGTTTCTGTTTGCAATAGGCATTATACAAATAACTGGACATTGTCAGCTAAAGAACCATCTATATAACGTGAGACTGGATGATACATCCTTATGTAGAAGATGTGGACAGGAAGACGAGACAGTCAAGCACTTGATTTGCAACTGCCTAGCTGTCTTATTCGTCCGCTAATCCATTCTGGGGGAACGTTGACCTTCTATGGCTAGCGTAATTGCGTAAGAAGTACGATAGGTTCAATAGTGTGGGGTGTATGACGGTCCAGACCTGATTGACTACTGACTACGAACAAGGGGCCAAATGGAGCCTAAGTGGTGTAATCTTGGTTGATTGTTCTTCCTCCAGAATGCAAAACATCTCGCCGTTGCAAGAGGCGGTGCATCACCGGCCCAATTTAACTGCACGCTAAGCACTTGCGTATCGGACGGTGTAAGTGAACGAGTGTTGCACTATCTGTTGACAGGGAGTGGTGCAACGCACGGAGAACATTCCATACTCTCCTAGAATTTGCAAGGAAATAGGGCATTTTCCTATTCATATGAATTACCTACACATGTCTGTTTGATTTGTTGTGACCTGTGACTGTGAGAGCCTAACCAGAATACTGAATGACTCTCTAATTCTGTTCAATAGGGCACCGCTCGACATCCCCCCCCTTCCCTGAATTCGCCAGTGGTGGTGCTCCATCGCTAAGAAGAATTCTTGCAATTCGTTTATTTCCTCTACGGTATTTGTAATATACGATTTCGCTAATAAATTACTACAGTAAACATGCAATCAACCACGGGGGGTGTGGCTCTCCCCAGTTCGTCCAGTGAATCCGCCACTGGATACGCGACGAGTGTGTTGAAAATATCTATATTCTGAGGTTCAAGGGCGTCCAAATCTGTCAATGGGCTCGGAGACGTATAAATATACTGACGGTAAAAAATGTTGGTTTACCCTCCTCCCACAATATCCAACTCCCAACCTCTAATTTTTACCCTGTTAAGTAGAACCTAGAAAGTAAGTTATATCGTTTTTTTAATGACATTAGGTAGGTTTTTTACATGTCGGTTTTCCTATAAAATTTTGGACTAGCTGACATTCACTTCATGCTCACTTGTGGTAAGCGCAGCACACTAGCGGCTAGCTGGTACATAAGACATTTTAGCGATTTTGACATTATATAGGTTCTTTACGTAATGAACCTGCGGGAGCCTCTGAAACGCCAAAACAAGGTTGAGCAATTATTTTGTTCTTTTTTTTTTCGTTTTTTACCTGTAGGTCCGCCGCTACTGGATCGACTTTCAAAAATTACACAGCTTTTTCGTCCTTGATATAGAGCTTGTTTCAAAAATTTTTTCTAAGTTAGAGTGGGGCAAAAGATTAGCAGACAGACAGATCGACGGAAATGAGACCATGATTTTTTCTGATATACCCTGGGTCAAAAAAAAGTATCGGAATGCCCTATTTTTTTTCCTTGAACCTAAATAACGGAAAAATTAATTTTGGATAATAAATTTATTTGAAAACTAACAACTAAATAGTAATTTTTTATGGCAATAGATTGAGCAAATTAAAGATAATGTAAGGGTAATGATAGGAATTATGAAGTATGACTGAATATTTGCTCACACAAAAAAAACAAATAAATAAGTTTTAACAAGATTTATATATAGCTAGTACTTTGTTATCACGTCGTCCGCATCAATAATGGCCTGAAGCCATAGTGACATAGAATTTCTGTGTTATTTCTTGTACAGTTTGGCATAAGAACCTCTTCTGGCTGTCGTCTGGCAGAAAATTTACTTTTTCAAGCAGTTAAGTCCACAAATATTTGTGCAGGAGTATTGTAAAGAAATCATTCCCTTGCCTTAGCGCCGGTGTGCTTACGATCATTATCCTGTTGAAAAATAAATGTTCCCCTGATCCCCATTTTTCCAGTGCGGACATTCATGTTCCTCACCGATTGACCTGAGAAATAAAAAGGTGTCACGTGCTAATTATGACACGTCCAAGTCACCGTCAAGTATGAATTGACCTTTAGATATACTTTATGAGCGATGATGTGATCGCAAATAATTTAATGGCTCGTTTTACTCCAGCGTTTTGCGGCGTCTTCAAAGTTATACCATCGCACGTTTACGGGGGTGTGTCGTTACAAACATTTTAGCGGTCGCGTAATTTATACATTTTTACTGCCGTGATGACAGAAATAAAAGCCGAAATGAGTTCGGTGGATTGGGAAATTGCTGCTGTCTATATTTACATGTTCGCTACTCGTTCAAGTATTTAGCGCGCTTCCTGAAACGGTCGCTTGAGATTCAACACTGATATTGAGCAAGATATGTTCAGTGTTGGATTACGTTATGAATGAATGAACATTTATAAGCAATTTGAAATTAAACCCAAATAAATGTACTTCTCCTGTGTTCAGAAAATGACAAAATAGGATTAAAGAGGATTTCGGTATAGTCATTAATAGTGTTAAGCTCAATCTCTATAACATATCCAAAATCTTAGGTGTTCAAATTGACGAGCAGTTTCGGTTAGAACAACTCGTTAATACTTATCCAAAAAGCATACGCACGATTTCGAGCACTATACAATAATAGATTTATTTTTAAGAAATATATTGGAAAAACGACTAAGGTACCTGAGGGTATTAACGCCCACTTAACAACTTTTTTTAATCTACTAATTACGAGTGAGGATTGATAAATTACTGCATTAGTAAAAACATCTTTATTGATAAATAAATACAAATTTCAGCCTTTTTTAGTTCTCAAAGTATCACAGGACCTCTATAGGCCATTTCAAAAAATGGTGTTTTTGGGCATTATTAACCACCTAGTAGTATATTAACGCCCTATGGTAAATGCAGTGTAAGGTACATGAAAGTAAGCAAAAACTGAACTAAGCACAAATATATTCTGCTTAAAACTATTTTACAGTTTAAAAAAACAAGTCTTCAATGTTTGGACGCTACTACCCGCACAAAGCTTTCTAATAGAAACGAAACATTTTTCTTCGCTAAGTGAAAAGGAACATTAAATAGATAATGCAACGGGTATTATTAGAGCATTCCTGCATTATTAACAAAAAAAAAAAACATGAAATGAAAAACTAACACTCGGGGCATTCAAAAATTAAATCGCTTTCTGTCAGACCAACACACTCCTCATGGTACCAGACTTGGCATTTCATGCACTGTCTCATGTCTGATTAAACGATTTTCTTTGCAAGCTGGACAATACCAATCTGCAACTTGATCTGGAACAATCCTTGAGCTCGATGGATTTTGCTGGAACAAGTCCTTAGTAATTGTCTGTGCTTTGTAGTTTATTGCTTTTTTCCGTGGTAGTTTAACAGTAACCGCTTGCTTCATATCTGGTGTCGCCAGAAGTTTTTGGAAAGACGTTCTAGAACGATAGTGAATCCGTTTTTGTAACTCTTGAAGTGGCAAGTCATTTTCGGAATCAGATGAATCCACTATGTGTGAGGTGGCATTTTCTTTTTGTCTTGCAAATAAATATTTTCCGACACCCTTGGACGTTGAGGGTTGCTGGTCGACGTCTTCTGGCCTATTGGTGTCGGGCAGTAAACGTTGCGTCAGGATAGATGGAGCGAACGCTGTTGCGGGAATGGCATCGGGGTTAAAAGGATAAATCCCTATAGCCCTGAATCCACTAGTTATATTAGAGTAGGTCATACACTTGGACCAAACGTTGGTAAAAATCTTGTTGAAGCTGATTTTGTTAATTTTTCGGCCTGGATTCGCAAACTGATACTTCAGCATCTCTACATCCCAATGATGTTCATAAGATCGATACACAGATTTGTCTAGCGGCTGTAATTCGTGCGTTGTGTTTGAGGGTAGACAATAAAGGGTAATATCGTGCTCTTCAGCGGCATTAACTATTCTCAAGTCCAAATGACATGCTGCACCATCAAACACTAAGAGGACTTTGCCAGGTGGTTTAAAACTGGCAAGGTGCTTTATAAAATCAACAAAGAGCTCGGTGGTCATATAACCTTTAGGGGACATCCTTACTATACTGCCTGTTGGTAAATCGTCACAGTTTTCTGGCTTAACTCTTTTACCCTTGAAAATTATCATTGGCGGAATTGGATTACCAATGGCGGATACACATCCCCCATTTGAGATAAGGTGAACCCTTTTCACAACTTTTTGTGCAAGAACGGTAGGTTGATGGTGAAGGGTCAGACGGCAACCTTTCTCATCCATATTGGAAATTTTCTCAGGTTTGTGCTTTAACTCCAATTTATCTAATAAGTTACCAATTTTTTGGAAATGGTCCTCTACTATGAACTTATTCAGTTTTTGCGCTCTTGCTTGATTCATAAATTGGGCTTTCCTTTTTGATACAATCGGGTTTCTTTTTAAGAAAGATTTCATCCAATCCTTTCCTGCTCTTTGGCTTTCTGTATTGAAATTATTTGGAATGTTGTTTATTTCACAGAACTTGAAAACATTAAAACGTAACGTTTTCAAGGTTAGCGGCAACCCTATATCGGCCAAACGCAGAATCCTTTCCACTAGATCTTTCTCTTGTTCTGTATTTAGCACGGCTTTTCGGCCAAATCTTTTAACGCATTTTCCAGTTTTGAGGTGATCTCGAAGTGTTCTTCTGGGAATATCATATCTCTCCGATGCGGCTCTCTGAGTTAAGATCCCCCTTGATACTGACAGAATGGCTGCCTCCATATTTGCTTCGTCCCATCCTACACCTCTTTTTCGGGCTGGTGTTGACGATTTCTTTTCCATGTTTAATCACTTCTGAAATAGTTCAAAAATATCATATTTTCATTTGTTTAATAACGCCCGCTTAGGCTGTTTAATAACGCCCACCCCGAATTTGGCTGGGCGTTATTACACGATTCACTTCTTACAACAAAAAAAGCCAATTCAAGAAAAAACAAATTTGAACAAGCAGAACTAATTAGCTATTCGCTTGTCATAGACCTTAAGCATTACGTGTGGAAAATAACAACCATTTATCATGCTAAAATACAAATTTACTTACTTATTTGCAGCACCTAATTTTATAAAATGGATCGCACAACCACCTGTTTTGTATGCTTTGTTATAACTGACTGCGCAAACTCGCTAATGGCGTCGACTATCACTGTCTTCGTCTTACTACAGTCGAGTATGTTCCTTATAACCTGCGTTAGCTTCAAATAATCCAGTGCAAAGCGCCAAATTTAAAAGCGGGCGTTATCAACCACCGGGCGAAATTGCCCGCACCTACCTTAAGTGAAACTTTAGTTCTCTCTATCGTTGAATGTGGATTCTTAGTTTATTTTTCTTGTTTAGATCATATCGTCGGTCTCCGCACGTACCGGCGTAACTAACATTTTACAAATTTTACAGGAGAGCTAGAAAACGAAAATCAGCAATAAATGAGATTGAAAATGACATACTGTTTTTTTAGTCTGAACGTTGCGGTTTTTTTTGTTAGACTAAAATGATGTATAACCAGTTTTAACGCAGATGCGTAAATCTATTTAAGCCGGTACGTGAAAATTGTTTTCGGAATTTAGGCAATTTTCTGAATATTTTAATTCTTAGCAGCAAACTGATACACAGCTACGTCACTGAAGTAAGAGACTACAAAAAATCTGTGAAATTACGCCGTAACTCGATTTTAGATTATTTGTCATTTAAGTGCCAAAACCTGCATTTTGCCTAGTTTTTCAGCCATAACATTTTTGCTATTAGTCGGATCTTTTAAGGTGTGGTCTCATTTTGTAGGTCTCATAAATACTTAAAAATCGTATTTAAAAAGTTTGTTCGTTCCTGTCAACACTTCCGATTTAATCCCAAAAACACGTTTTCTCATTCTTTCTTTGTTTGTTGTCAAATAAAAATTTTCCCACAAAAATTGGTGTACCCATTTTATGCGCCCATGTTTTAAATACCTCCTTGAACATCTTGCACCGATTAAACCAGACTTTAGACTAGACTTATTTGTCTATTCAACGCTTTCGTTTTAAAATAACTGCCCTTACAAGTGTAAGAGTAGTTTCAGCTAAATCTGGCCTTTTGTCGATAATGTTAATTAATAAAGAGGACCATTATTATTATAAGTAATATGGTGCAAACATGATACAGGTGAAATACTAGTCTGTTTAGAAGCCAGACTGTCAAAAGTAGATGACGAAACGGTTAGCTGTTCATAATCTTAGAAGTGACCGCTGACCTAACTAGCGCGATCTACCTCTAGCGTCAGATTACCCCCAAATGTCATTTACGTCACTTTAAGCGAACGTTTGCAACGCAATATGACGGCCCCATCAGAACATGAAATGTCTAGTAGTTGCAGTAATAATTTTCTGCTCTTCATACTCTCTCATTTTCTCCTAGCCCTTGATTTTCTCTTTTATCTTCTATATCTTCTGGAATACCAAACAAAGCTACAAAACAGCAAAATGATCATCTAATTTTGACATAAAGGTAAAGGCCCCACGAATCGTTTTTTATGATCAATAAATAATCGTAGTACAAAAGTACAGGGCGTCATAGAATTTGGAATGTTTTATTCTCAGAACAAAGAAGAAAAAATGGCTCAATATTCGAGTCTCAAGTACTATCCTGACATATATTTTGCTCGTGAATGTTATTGATGTTGTCGGCGATTGATTCTTAAACACAGGTTTGTCTAATGGCTTGTTCGTACAGTCATTGTTGACTTGTCGGTGAATGTGTCTGGAATCAGAAATTGTGAATTCTATCTATATAGCGAAGCAGAGTGAATGTAATTTGTGTAGCGGGATCTTGGTCACGATCACTGACAGGTTGGCGACTGCTATACGAACAGGACTTGAGTCTTCTACTATGGAGCTCGAGGTCCTTTGCTTGACATTAACAAACATGCACAACTCAAGACGGAACCATCCAGGAAAATGATCAGAATACACTCGCAAAGTATCAGTACAGACATCGTAAACTAACATCAAATCGCTAATATCGTTATTCAGTTCCATTTGTAAATAAATAGCTAGATCACCGCGAGGCAATTGATTTAAATAGTGACGCATCTCGTGCCCGTTCACGTTGGATACTGGGTCGGTCTGGCCCATTCAGAATTTTTTGAATCTTTATAGGTCGGCAAAACTGACATATGTGTTACCAGGAAAGGTTGCTTGTTGTTGCATTAACTATATGCCGTGTATATATATATATATATACTTTGAAGTTGAGTCATTAATTTTCAGATAATGATTGTAGATGGAAGATAAACCAAAATATGTGTGTGAAAATAAAAAAAAATAAAAAAAAATGTTACTTTGTTTTATAAAGTATCCTCCCGACAAGTATTTCAGTGTGGACCTGTATTTGATCGTGCGGTCTTGGAGCACCGGCATGCCCTCCCCTGTGAGGTCTTAAGTCACCTGATTCACGAGCCCTTTGTACTACATTAACAAAGGCACGAGGGGTTGGTTGCACTCGATTGGGAAACCGATTCGCACAAATCTGTGATGCCGCGGCAGCATTTTGTAAAGACTCCCCACCCCCCGTAAATAACAATCATGTCCACAAGTTCAGCATTTTCGTAAACATGTGCCATTTTTTATTTCGTTTGAGCCACGCAACAAACACCACTATTCACCCACGCGTTACCGACTGACGAAAAACATCGTGATAAACGTTTCAAATTCTTTCGCTTTTTTGTTTCCGATGCGATGAACCGATAAGGCGGATTATATCCGTTGTTGCCAAACACGAGCACATAATATTATTATTCAGACAGGGCGGTACTCAAACTTCTAAAGGGCTATAACTTTGTTACTTTAATTTTACCAGAAAAATGTTATAGGAAAAAAACATTTCTTTTGATCAGATCTACTCACTGTTGAAATAAATGACTCAACTTCGAAGTCACCCTGTATATATAAAGGTATATTCCTGGTCCGATCAAAGCACTCCCAGAGTGGGATGATATGGAAATACTTTATTTTGATTTCGAATAATTCTAATCCAGCATAAACCTGTCAAACTCGTACCGTGATCATTTCATATAGAATCCACATCCATTGAGTCCTTTGGTATGCACTAACTTTTTTCATGTGTGAGACTGACGAATCAAAAAATAGAACAGCGGATATCCTTTCTATCCAGACTGTTCTAAATCGGACTTCAAAAGAAACGGAATAGAATGTGACACGTCAATCTGTTGCGGCCATAGTTGCGGCATCTCGATTAATCACATGTACAGTGCTAGCAGCCAAAAATAAATAGGCATAACATAAAATCTGTCATATGGTGACATCCGCTCGGTTAATTTATCGAGTGAGAAAACAGTACAACAATTCAATAGACAATGGCAGTATCTCTAAAATACAATGTACACCCAAAAGTAGAAGTCAATCCGATCCCTAGCTATGCTGTTGACAGCACTCCACATGCAGGAATTCAGCCGATATCTGCCAGTGAGATGGAGAGAAGACTAGCAGCGACAACTTCTTCAACGAGAGATCTGGTATCACTGCTTGGGGACGCAACAATCTAGTACGGTTTAATAGTTTAAAAAAATCTCTATACCTTGACTAACAAAAAGCGCCCTAGCGGTTTCGATGGATAGGCGAGCTCTACCAAAGAGCCGATCATTTCGGCTGGTCGGAGTCCAGATCATCGAAATCTTGATCTGGCACGAACACATCTCGTCAATCGCAGCATCTGCTGGG